GAGCGTCCCACTTCAAGGCGCGCTCGGTCGAGCACGCGATGGACTTGCCCTCGGGGATGGTCTGGGCCGCGGCGAGGGACGGGTAGAGCGAGTCGAAGATCTGGCGGTAGTAGTAGGCCTCCTTGGTCCGCGGCGTGTTGTACGCGAAGCGGTGCGGCGCGACGGAGAACTGGTGGTCGCTGACGTGGGCCTCGGCGTGGTCGCGGAGCGCGTCGATCCAGCCGTAGCCGACGCCGTCGGAGAACTGCTCCTTCTGGCGCCAGAGGATCTCCTTGGGGAGGTAGGGGTCCTCGGGCACGTCGAAGGCCTTGCGGAGGATGTACTTCTCGATGCGGCCCGACTTGACGTCGATCATCTTCTCCCGCGGGTCGATGGACATGGCGACGTCGAGGAAGTCGGCGTCGAGGAAGGGCACGCGCGCCTCGACGCCCCAGGCCATGGTCGACTTGTTCGCGCGGAGGCAGTCGTAGATGTAGAGCTGCTTCACCTTGTCCTTGAGCTCCGCGAAGAGCTCGCCGGCGTCGGGCGCCTTGTGGAAGTAGAGGTAGCCCGCGAGGATCTCGTCGGCGCCCTCGCCGCTCAGCACCATCTTGACGCCCATGGCCTTGATCTTGCGCGCCATGAGGAACATGGGCGTCGCCGCGCGGATCGTCGTGACGTCGTACGTCTCGAGGTGGTGCACGACCTCGGCGATGGCGTCGAGGCCCTCCTGGAGCGTGAAGGTGTAGGGGTGGTGGATCGTGCCGATGTGGTCCGCGGCCTTGGCCGCCGCGGCGAGGTCCGGCGACCCGACCAGACCCACGGAGAACGAGTGGAGCGCCGACATCCACTGGCCGGCCCCGGCCGCGACCTTCTTCTTCAGGAAGCGCTGGGCCACGGACGCCACGAGCGACGAGTCGAGCCCGCCGCTCAACAGCACGCCCCAGGGCACGTCGGACATCATGCGGCGCTCCACGGCCTTCTCGAAGGCCTCGCGGAGCTTCGCGTAGTCGCACGGCGCCGCCGGCAAACCCTCGAGCGCGCGCCACGCCGGCGCGTACCACTCGACAAAGTCCTTGGTGTCGGAGCGCCAGCAGTGGCCGGGCTTGAACTGCTCGAGCGAGGGGCAGTCGCGGGCCATGGCCTTCAATTCGGACGCGATCCACACGGTCCCGTCCGGCCCCCGGCCGATGTAGAGGCTCGTGATGCCGATGTGGTCGCGCGCGGCGCCGTAGAAGCCCGTGCGCTGGTCGTAGAGGATGAAGGAGAACATGCCCCGGAGCTTGGCGCAGGCGCCCTCGAGGCCGTACTTGAGGTAGAGCGGGATGAGCACCTGGGCAGCACAAGGGTGCGAAATTCCCAACTTCAAAGGCTCCTCTCTCGGCCGTTTTCCACTCGTTTCGGCTGATTCTTGGACGAGCGATCATCTCTCGGAACGGTCTCGAAGCGTGGATGCTTTTTCCAGAACGCGCGCGCGCGGAACACTCACGTTGAAGCGACGTTGAATCTCTCTTGTGTGGCCCTGATGAGCACCTCGCAGTCGGAGCCCGTCTTCGGCGCGTAGGCGAAGCCGTCGGCCGCGAGCTCCGCGTAGAGCTCCTTGTAGTTGTAGATCTCGCCGTTGGCGGCGACGATGACCGACGCCTCCTCGACGGTCACCGTCCCGTCGGGGCCGCGCTGCGCGGCCGCGAACAACGGCTGCGCGCCGCTCTCGGGGTCCATGATCGCGAGGCGCTCGTGCGCGATGGCGTGCTGCGCCTTGCCGCGGGCGCCGCCCTCGGAGATCGTGAGCCTACGAATTTTTGACGGGTGTTTCACGACGGGTCCGCGCCTTTTCGGGGCGGACGCGCGCGGCGCGCCGCGTGAGCGACTCCGAGGACGAGTTCGCGCCGATGCCGAGCAGCGTGCCGCTCCCGGACTTCTTCAGGCCCGCGCCCTCGGGCGCGCGGCTCAGGAGCTGGTAGCCGCTCCAGTCCGGCCCGCGGTGGCGCAGGCGCCGCGCCTGTGGATCGGATGCGTCCGGCGATCGTCGGGGGGGGGCGGGCGGCGGGACGCCGGGTGCGGACGCATTCGATGAGCTTCTTGCGGAGCTCGCTCTGAGACGTGTTGGGAGGCACGTCGAAGATGCCCAGGATGCCGCACATCGTGCCGAAGAAGTGGGTGCGCGGCGCCGCGCTGCGACGCGGAGCAGTGCCCTGCTCTTTGCGGTGCTGCAGCGATGTGCAACCCTGTGGTTCTCCATGGTACCATGGACCAGGGCGTCATCGCTAGCTTCAAGAGAGAGAACTCGCCGCTGATGCTGCCCCAGAAGAATTGGGAGCCATGGGTGCCTTTGCCAAGCCTTGGATGCTGGCCGCGCTGGCCGTCGCCGTAGGAGCGGGCTTTGCGATGAAGCGGCGCGCGGCTCTGCCTTGGATGCTGGCCGCGCTGGCCGTCGCCGTGGGGGCGGGCGTCGCGATGAAGCGGCGCGCGGCTCTGCCGTCTACGGGCGCCTGCGCCCTCCTGGAGCAGCTCGTGATGACCCAGCGGTCCGTCGATGCCCACATCCAAATGCCGAAGGACTTCGCCTACGTGCCCTTCGAGATGGTCGAGGCCTGCGGCTCGGCGTCGTTCCGCATGCCCTACCCCTACAAGATCCGCCTGCCGAGCCACAGCCCCCTCGATCAGCTCTACGCGGACTTCAAGGCCCTGGACAAGGCGACGGTGCTCACGCGCGAAATCGGCGAGGGCCCGGACGACTCCGACGACTACCTGCGGAATTCCAAGTTCACGAAGCACTCGGGATCGCAGGAGGAGCCTCTCGTCGAGGGGGTCGAGTCGTTGAGCAATGGCACGAAAGCGCTCTTCTTCGACAACTCGTGGACCTACGACCACTTCCGCCCCATGCTCAACGAGCCGGAGCGCTTCGACAAGATCTTCGAGAACTGCCTGTTCGGGAACATGTTCACGACGAACCTGACGGAGCAGCGCTTCACGGCCAAGGCCCACAGCGCGCCCTGGTACGGCTCCGTCGCCGTGCAGCTCGCGGGCGTCAAGCGGTGGAAGTTCTGGGACCCGGCGACCTTCGGCGCCCACGGCGTCCCCAGCGACGAGAGCAGCTTCGAGAACATGGCCGTCTCGAGGATCCTGCCGAGCCGCGGCATGACGAAGCTCATGAAGACCATCGACCACTACGACGTCGTCTCGTCGGCGGGGGACCTCGTCTACTTCCCGGCCTTCTGGACCCACATCGTCTACACGGACCCGGGCTTCAACTTGATGATCAACCTCCGGGCCCGCCACCACCCGTCCATGGCTCTGGGTTGGCTCCGCAACGCGCTGCAGATCCACTCGTTGATCGGTATGCTCAAGATGGCGGCGATCTTCACGCTCGTGTCCGTCCTCCCGGAGGAGGTCGTGCTCGCGAAGCTCGGCAAGGCGCACGACGCCGTCGCCAGCGAGACGGAGAAGACGCAGACATGGCTCGACGAGGTCGAGCACTCGATGAACGCGGACTCGAAGTTCGTCCAACTCCACGAC